GTTGTTCTGTGATTCCATTTCCATTGCCTAAGAAGAGCACAATATTTTTTGACTTTTCATAGACATCTGACTTGGTTAGAATTAGTCTGTTTTAGAAACCTTGTTCCAGAGCCCTGACTAAGAAGCTCAGGGCTTTTGTTTTTTTGATGTTTAAAGACACTGAATTTTGTTAGAGGTACTCTTGACAAACTCTGCGAAGAATCAGGTTGTGGTGGGCTGACCCTGAGCAGCAGCTGGGCATCCACACTCTCAGCTTCCACAGGGGATGGGGAAGGGAGCAGGAAGAGGAAAGGTGAGAAAATGGCTGTGTCTACATAAAATAGTGTGAAAAGTGATGCCGAGCGAGCCCTGCTCACTTTTGGTGTCACAATGCTGTTCTCCCACAGCTCAGGCTGCTCTGGAGGAGCTGAACTCCGTCTCAAACTCCCACACAACCAAAATTCTCATTTCTTTACTCCTTTTCAGGACCAGGGCTTGCATTCATTGCTTACCCTAAAGCTGTCACCATGATGCCTCTGTCTCCTCTGTGGGCAGCTCTGTTCTTCATGATGCTCATCTTCCTGGGCTTGGACAGTCAGGTATGAAACAAACCCCACTGCAAGGAGCTTTAGCTTTTTATTTCCACCTCCCCAACAGGTGGAAATCACCCCTAAACAGCATCAGCCTGATGAATGACTGAACCCTAACTTGATTCTCTGCTATTTTAAATCTCCGTTGCGATTCTGGATATTCCTTCATGATTCACTGCAAAGGCTGGCTCAGCCTGACTCCAGCTCTCATTATTAACATGGAAATCAGTCTGAACTTCAACAGGGCTGATTAAAATTCACGCTTCAGTAAAATACCAGCCCATTCTTCAAGCACTTGGCAATGAATTTTGAAGCTGAATATCAGATAGGGATAATGTAATTTTCTATGGTGTATTTTTACTGCAAGATACCATAGCAAGGAATGTGCAGTCATATCCTGCAGCAAAGGGGCAGCACAGAAGTCGTTGTCCTTGTGTGACTGTAAAAATTACAAAAGCTGCTCAAAGAAAAATGTGAAGTGCCTGAGAGTTTTAGCATGCAGCTCAGCCCTTGGCATCACTGGGTGCAGAAAGTTTATGATTCTAAAGCTCAGCAGTGCTCGTTCTGCATGACATTTCCAATCCTTAAATTTAATGTTTTAATAACTGCTCTTTTTAATGATCTAACAGGTTCTTAAAAGACTTTTTTTTTTTTTTAAGTGAGCAGTTCCTGGATTTTGCTCTTGACTATTCCAATGTCTATTTTGGGGAGTTTGGTTTTTTCAGGCATATATGTTTAAAACCTGATGTAAATTCTTACACACACACACACACACACACACATATATATATACATATATATATGTTGTAAATTTCCAGGTGGGGATACTAGCAGGGCTTCTATTTTAATGATAGTGTTAATATCTATATGATGATTAATGGGAATAGTTCTTTATGAGGGAATAAGTTTTAGGAATATGTTGCTAGTGACCAGATAGGTTGTTCTGATTCCATTTCCATTGTCTAAGAAGAGCACAATATTTTTTGACTTTTCATAGACATCTGACTTGGTTAGAATTAGTCTGTTTTAGAAACCTTGTTCCAGAGCCCTGACTCAGAAGCTCAGGGCTTTTGTTTTTTTGATGTTTAAAGACACTGAATTTTGTTAGAGGTACCTGGCTTGGGCACTCAACAGCTCTGGGGAAATTCTCTCTTCTGGTAAATGGAGAGAACTTCCCCCAAACCCTGCTGCTCCTTTAGCAGGTTGGAAGATGCATGGCAAAATTGGCAAAAGTGTCTGGAGTGACATGATCCCAATGAAGGCTTTGTACAATATTTATTCCCATTCAAGCCACATTTGAAAGGTTTAATTTTCATTTAGTCCACCTGCTACAGGGTAAATGCAGTCTGGGATAATATTAGAGAATCCAACTGTTTGAATTTGGTGGAAATCCATAACTTTGGACTTTTTCATTTGGAGATGTTCCTCTCAGCTTGAGCTTCTGCTTATGGAGCATCCCCAGGGATCACCCACCCAGTGTGATGAAAACACAGGAGGATATTTAAAGCGTTAGGTGGCAAATGCCAATGGCAGCAGCAGAGGAGACAGTTTTGACTGGATCTTTGCTGTTGTCTGTTGCAGTTTGTGTGTGTGGAAAGCATTGTGACAGCCGTGGTGGACATGTACCCCAAGGTGTTCCGCAGGGGCTACAGGAGGGAGCTGCTCATCCTCGGCCTCTCCGTCGTCTCCTACTTCCTCGGCCTCATCATGCTAACTGAGGTGAGAGCTCTGAGGGGTTCACACCCTCTGAACCCGAGAGAAGCAGAGAAAAGAATGATCAAAACAATTCTTATCTCGTTTGCTGTGTCTGTGCTGTGCCAAAGCAGAATGCAATGTGGAGATTGTTCACCCAAAGTGATGGGGCTTTGTTTCCTTGGCCTCTCAGGGCCAAATGTGTGTGTTGGGACTGTTGGCTCACAATCACAATATTCTGTGCAGCTGAGCTGGGTGCTTGTGCAGATTCAGTTCAGATACAGTATAATATAATTTAGAATAATATAATATAATAAAATAAAGTGTGGTGGTGTTCGCAGGGTCCCAGGATGAGGGAAGAGATGAGAATCTTGACTCCATGTTTCAGAAGGCTGATTTATTATTTTATGATATATATTGTATTAAAAGAAAACAATGTGTTAAAACTATACTAAAAGAATAGAAGAAAGGATTTCATCAGAAGGCTAGCAAGGAATGATAACAAAATCTTGTGACTGACCAGAGAGACCAAGCCAGCTGAACTGTGACTGGCCATTAATTAGAAACAACCAACACGGACCAATCACAGATGCACCTGTTGCATTCCACAGCAGCAGATAATTTTTGATTTTCTTTTCCTCTGAGGCTTCTCAGCTTCTCAGGAGAAAATTCTGGCAAAGGGATTGTTCAGAAAATGTCATGGTGACAATAAAGTAATTAATTAGCCTTCTGATATCAATGAATGCATCACTTTCTCCCCATTGCCTTCTCCCCCACTTTCTCCCCTGCTTTTCCTGCACTGCTCAGAGAGAAAGAACTTGTGGTTCTTACCACCACAGATAAAGCACAAGAACCTTTGCCACAGACAGGAATGTGGCCACAAAATACTTGCGAGACTGCTCTCAGCTCCTGTGTAACATCTGAAATTGGAAAAGTAGCTTTGTTTTATCAGCTGAGCTCAGGAGATGTTTCAATCAGAAATACACAGCCCAGCCAAGGAAATTCCATTTGCTTTGCACCAGCCAGCCACACACACTGATTGTGGTTCCTGCTTGCCCACCCTGGGCAGGAACAACCACACTTTGGATGGAAAGAGCAATAAAGAAGATTAAGTAAAGTGAAAGGAAAAATCAAACCATCTTTGGTTTCCAGATCAGCAGGCCATGTCAATCAGTGCAGCTGACTGACACACTGATCATGGCTTCTGCGTGCTTGCCCTGGGCAGGAACAGCCACATTTTGGATGGAAAGAACAATAAAGACAAAGTGAAAAGAGAAAATCAAACCATCTTCGGTTTCCAGATCATCAGCCATGTCAATCAGTGCTGCCAATCTCTGAGCAGAAATTTTGTGTCCCTTCCAACTTGGAGTAATCTGGAATTTGCAACATTAAGATTTAATTACACTAATTAAATCTCCCTCTCTGATAAGAGATATGATGCTCTGTGTGAAATAATGCATTGAACAGAAATTTTATATTCTTATTGACTTTATATTTACCTGTAAGTCATTCTTATTCTCAGTGAAATAAATCATCTTTGCTATGCAAAATGGGAAATGTTGGAATAACCCCTCCACAGGGCACATGCTGGACAGAGCACTGAGAGATATTAAGATATACTAAGAAATATAACAAAAGAAATATAAAGAAATATAAACCTGAGGAGCGCAAGGGAAGCAAGTTGTTCAAACTGCAGGAATATCCATGCAGGGGTTTTGTTCTCCTCACCTTGTATTGTCTTAGTTGGTTGATTTCTAAATTTGCATTTTGCTCAGGTATTTGCTGAGCCTCACCATGATGATTTTGCTGTAGAAATTTCATTTTTTTTCCTATTTTTAGAATTCTAAAAATCCTAAAAATCTTCCATCTGCAGAAAGTTGTCTGAGATGTAATGGATCACAGGAGCTCCCCAAAAACCATTACATCCCAACTGAGGAGCTCATCTCAAGCCCCTCTTTCCTTCTTTGGAATTCCTTTCCTTTGAAATGCTCTCTTGTGAACTCCTGCTCCTCATTATTTCAATATTAAATACAGATGCGATAAATTATTTTGTCTCACATAAAAAGTGTAATATTATGTATATAACTTTAATTATGTCTTACATAAAAAACATAATATTATCCATAAAACTTTAATTATTTGAACCCTAATGTTACTGATTGGATATTTCTTATTTCTTTTTCTTTGTGACAAATAATAAAGACTTGTTTCAGTCATGTGGCTTCAAGTCTGTGAGCTGCATTCACACTTTTTAGGTCACTTTACTCAATTTTTAGTCCCTACACCATCAGAGAAGGATTTTTGTAGCAACAGATTTTACCTTCTTTCCCCACATTTTAATTAATTATTTTACATATTAATAACACAGACACAGAACCAGGATCTGGAGGTCAGAATCACCTGGGAATATCTACAGCTTGGTGTGATAAAAAAAAAAACAGAGGTAAAAGCAGAGAGGTGGGAGAGCATTTTTGGAAAAAAAAAATCAAATTTACTTCTCTCCACTCCAGATTTACCATCCTTAAAGAAGTGCAGAGTAAAAAAACAAACCAAGAAATTAAAATTCTTTGTTCAAGAAGGAACCAACTTGAATAGGAAGCTTGCCAGGGAGCCAACAGCTTGACAGTGTAATTAAAAGAGATTTGCTATGAAATATTCCCACTGGTGCCAACCCAAATTTTTTTCCCCCTTTCCCATTTTCTCTTCCAGGGTGGGATGTATGTGTTCCAGCTCTTTGACTCCTATGCAGCCAGTGGGATGTGCCTGCTCTTTGTGGCCATATTTGAGTGTGTCTGCATAGGCTGGGTGTATGGTGAGTGATGAAAATTGCTGTTTTTCTTATCAAAGTTTTCTATTTGCATAAAAACAAAGTGACAACCTTATACCCTTATGGAATAGGACCTTCCACATTCCTATTCCCCCCAAAAAATCATAAATGCCTTTTTCTCCACAAAAATGCTCACTCTGGATAATTTCACTTTGTAAAGCACCACAGAACTGCAGATCACATGTGCCCAGCTATCCTTGGGTTCACCCATGAGCACCTAAATATATTTACATATATAAATTATATTTATATATAAAATAAATACTCTTGGCTGGGGTTGTTTACACCCTGATCCCACAAGAGAATAAACCAACTAAGCAGAATATATTAGGTTTATACTTGCATTGAAGGAAAGCAAAACTCAAGGTGTGGAGGAAAAAGGAGAGTAGGACTAAATGAAATGTTCATATTTTTGCGACAGCTTGTGCCACACCAATGAAACCTCCCTCTCTGATAAATGATACAATGATCTGTATGAAATAAAAGTTTTATGGCAGCAGAAGTTTTATAGCAGCAGGAATTGTAGATCAACCCCTTAGTGCAGATGGGAGGGAGGAGTTTTCCAGGGAAAAGAGGAGCAGCTTCAGCCTTCCCCTGTCTGTCTTTGCCTGCTTTAAATCCTGACCTGGACAGCCCCTTCCATGTGCACTCTACATCTGCTTTTCCTTTGGTTTTGGGCAGGCAGCAATCGCTTTTATGAGAACATTGAAGACATGATTGGGTACAAACCTGTGTCGTTGATTAAGTGGTGCTGGATGGTCCTAACTCCAGGTATTTGTGCAGTAAGTACAGAATGTCCAAAACACTTGTTTCAGATATAAAGAGGGGGTTCTGTAAATCTTTTTTCTATTTTTGCTGCTGCTAATACTTGAGAGAAACGCCTCTGTTGATTTATAGCATGTATTGCAAATAAAAAACACCCTGTAGGATCAGTAAAATTGTTAAATATCTGTAAAATTGTTAAATATTCAGTGAAAAACCTTAGTATGTACAATCAAAGGAACACAAATAATGCCAGGGCCCTAAATGAAGATTTGCCAGAACAAGAGAGATGTTTTTCTCTGTACTTGGTGCACTTTGTGTGCCAACACACAGCCCAAGCTCCTCCAGACTTGTGCTGGGTCCTTTGCTGCTTTCTCCTCTCTTCTCCTCTCTCTTTGGGGGGGAGTGAATATTTTCCAAAGGAGAAAAGACATTTTTTACTTTTAAAAGTAGCAGGAGAGGCCAAAAGCCCATCCCATGGGCATGAAGGAGGGGAAGGAAGCTGGTGCCAGCTCTGCAGAGCTGTGGCAGCGTCACAGGGATAAAGACAAAAAACCAGCATGAGCTGATTGCCCTTAAAATTGAGGCTGAGATGCCAAAACCCCTTCCAGCTGTGCAACACTCCAGCGATGGCAGCTGCAAACCACAGCAGCTGGGGCACCTCGAGATCCAGGCTCCCATTTGCAAAGTTAGGAAAATTTCTGACCCATTTGCACCAAATCTGAAATGGCCTCCATACCATGTGCACTCGTTTCACCACTTTGGGGAAAATTACATGGTAGCTTTTCTCTATTTCATACATTGAAATGGTCCAAGCTGCTTGATTAGAAATGGAGACAGATTTTTTCAGGGTTTTTGGCAGGATGAAAGCATTGGAACTGCAGATACACACAGTGGATTAAAGCAACTTCAAAAATTTTGGCTTTCATTTTTCATCCTGACAGGTTGGAGAGAACCCAGCTCGTGTTATTTAATCACAGCTGGTTCACTGTAGCAAAACTTAATCTTTCCTGCCCAGGTGCTGTTTGCCATCAAAGTGCTGGGTTTATTGTCATCAAGAGGTAAATAGGATTAAACTTGAAAGGTTGCTCGTTCCTGCAGGAGCCTCTGAGATGTGTTATTTAAGCTGTACAGAAAAGAGGATGTTGCTGGTGGGTTTTTTGCTGTGAGTGAAGAGCTTCCCTCTGCTCTCCCTCCTCAGGGAGCCTGGCCTGGCCTAAACACTCAGCCAAATCCTTGTTACACACACAGGCTTTGCCCAGATACCTCTGACAACATATCCCTGCTTGTTTCAGGGAATCTTCATCTTTTTCCTGGTGAAATACAAGCCCCTGAAGTACAACAATGTGTACATCTACCCTGACTGGGGCTACGGCATCGGCTGGATGATGGCACTCTCCTCCATGGTCTGCATCCCGCTGTGGATCTGCATCAAGCTCTGGAAGACAGAGGGCACCTTCATGGAGGTGAGAGAGAGCTGCTGAGCAGTGATGCTGCAAAAAGAGCTGGGAAGCAGGGGGACTCCTCACCTCTCGGGAGTTCTGCTGGTCAAAGTGACTCTGAGATGTGTTAGAAAGTCTCTTTTTCCAGCCTGGCAGTCAAAGAAGGAGTCAGAGCTCTTCATTTCTCATTCTCAAGGTTTTTTATTGTTTCTTATCTATAAAATTCTTTCTCTGAGCTGCTGACGTCTGTTCAGCAGGACAGACAGAGGCACATTGACCACCCTCAGGGTGGTGTTGTCTTTTAATACTAAAAACTATGTGTACACTATTTACAATAACTTCCCAATACCTATCACCTATGTCAGACAGTGAGTTTCTACCTTAAACCAATCCAAAAGTGCCAGCATCACAGCAATAGATGGAGGCCAAGAAGAAGAAGAAGAAGAAGAAGAAGAAGACTGGACACACCCAGATTCTTCCATCTTGCCTCCTGAACCCCCATTCTAAAAACCCCGAAATCTATTTTTCACCCCATGAAAAACTAACTATCATTCTGCTTAGACTTTCGTGGCTTGTAATCCTTCCTATAAGGTTGGTAATTTTTTCCATGGGTCAGGATCAAAGGCACAGGGGTCTTGGGCTCTGTGCCAGGGTCTCTGAGCCCCCTGGCAGGGGTTTGAGCCATTCAGGACAGCCAGAGGGATGTCCTGAGTTCCACCACTCACCTGCATCCTTTGATCAGAACAGCAGTGCCACATCCCTGTTCCCTGCCTTAGGGCTCTCAGCCGCTGCTGGAAAGAGAATTCTGAACTTTCTCTGCTTTATTCTGAACTCCTGTTGGGTTTTTTGCTGCCAGTGGTAAACTAACCAATTTAAGGTGCTCTGTCCCAGCACAATTTGTAGCTTAAAATGTCTGTAACATCACCCAGATCCCTCAAGGTTTGTACCAGCCATTCCCTTTTTCCATGATTTTTGTTTGTATTGCCAGGATTTTCTCCAAGACCTGGGCTGCCCACATTCCCATTTTCTGCAGAGTTTTCCTAATTTCAGTTCTCTAAATGAGAAGCTCAGGCAAATAAAGAGATTTGGTGGAATTTCTTACGTTTGGTGTCAGGTTAGCTCAGGTCTAGGCTGAGGTTATTATCAAATTTAAGCTTGGAAGATGCTCGTTTCTGTGGAAGCTCCAAAGAAAGGCAGTGAAGGAAACAATAGTGGAAAAAACAAAAATACAAAACTTTATCAGCTATTTGGAATTCTAACATTGCAGAAAAGCCTCATTTTGTCCATATTGCAAAGACTCTGTTCAGCTGGTTAAATGCAACCTGGAGACTGCCTATCACTCAATCCCTCCAGGTTTGTACCAACCATTCCCTTTTTCCATGGTTTTCATTTGTGCTGCCAGGATTTTCTCCAGGAGCAGGGTTGCCCACATTCCCATTTTCTGGGCAGTTTTCCTAATTTCACTTCTCTAAGTGAGAAACTCAGGCAATTAAAGAGATTCACTGGAATTTTCTGACATTTGGTGTCAGGTTAGCTCAGGTCTAGGCTGAGGTTATTATCAAATTTAAGTTTGGAAGTTGATCGTTTCAGTGGGAGCTCTATCCAAAGAAAGGCAGTGAAGGAAGCAATACTGGGAGAAACAAAAATAAAAATGTTTTTCAGCCATTTGGGATTCCAACATTGCAGAAAAGCCTCATTTTGTCCACATTGCAGACTCTGTTCAGCTGCTTAAACACAGCCTGGAGACTGCCTAGGAAATCTTTACTGGATAGATAAACTAAAACTGAATTGTCCATGATTTAGTTGTCTCAGAGAGTCAAAAAAGGAAGTCTGCACAAATCTAAACACTAAATATCTCCTCAATTCACCTGTCCCTGCCGGTGAGCAGACTTTGCTGGAGCTGCAGCACTGCAGACAGGTCGTTATCTTTTCCCTGCCAGGATGACAAGAGGATTCTTTGAATCACAGCTGGGAGCTTCTTGAGGAGCCAACTTCCTGCTGTGAGCAGCAACCTTGCCGTGGATGTCATTGCTAGAAAAGTGAAAGCAGATTTTGCTCTATCACAGCTCAATACACCTTGGCTGTCTCTGGTTTATTTGCTTTTTCCAGTGGACATCAGGGATGACAAAATGAGAAACAAAATGTACCTGTAGAACAGACACAGTGCTGAGAGCCTTCATGAAAGGGGATGATTAAATCAACATAAAAATTCACTTTGGTTTGAGCTTTGCCTTCTTCGGTCTGGATTTATCCAGAATTGTGCAGCCTGCAGGTCTGAGGGAAATAAAAGAGAAAAGCAGGAGCAAATCCTTTTCTAATGGATCTATTAAAGAGAGGTGTGTCTGTGACCAAGGAAAATATAATGATTTCCAATTTCTCCAATTTTCTAGAAATTCAGGAAGCTGATTACACCTAGCTCAGACCTGAAAATGCGGGGAAAGCTTGGAGGAGGAGCCTACATTGCAGCAATAAATGACTGCGATGCCAAACTGAAAGGAGATGGCACCATTTCCACCATCACAGAAAAGGAGACACATTTCTGAAAGAACTTTTTTTTTTCTTGTTTTATTTTTTTTGTATAAAGAAATAAATAAATTCACTTAATTATAGAGGCTGGCTTGTTTTGCACAGAATTTTATTAACCAGTTAATTTTAAAGTGAAAATTGTATACTTGTTTAAAAAGTGATTTTTTTAAATTACTCTATCCATAATGATTCTGTAAAAGAAAAAGAAATAGTATTATATGGTCTGTTAGTGATGACTTCTTGTAATATGGTGATTCCAGTCAATGTTTTTTTTTTAGACTTTTAGAGGGACCTTGTATAATGTGCTGTAAAACTTTTCTACTTTGATTTGTGGCAGGTGTGATGTTGTATAGACCTTCTAACCTGTAAGCATTTCAGCCCATTTCAGCTGTCCATGTGTGTATATAAAGGGGACCAGCCTGTCCTGTGGTTTGCTTGGGAAGAAATCTCCTTTCAGGGCGAGTTTGGTGATGCTGACAGCGCCTCAGCTGCTCCCATCTCCTTCCCTCCACCCTCCACTGGCTTCAGCAGGGCTGGAAATGTGGAATGGGCCCATCCTGAGCCACTGTTTTCCTGAAGATTGGATAGAGGCTGGTTCTGAAGGGCTCTGAATTTTGCTGCTGTAAGTTCCTGGTCTCTGCCAGGATGTGTCCCCAAACATTTTCCATTTTCCCCCGTGAGTGGCTGCTCCTGAATTTTGGCCAGCACTTCCCACTCCCTGGAGTGACCTGTGTCTGTGTGAGCTCCTCCAACAGATCAATTTATTTCACAGAGCTGGAGGTGTCCTGAGGGGAAAAGAACAGGTTTAGGACCAGCTTTAGGGCTCTCTCTGTCTGTACAACTCATTCCCCTCCACAGGAATCCAGGATCCTACAGTGCAGCCCTACCCAGCTCCTCTGCTGGCACAGGGTGGGCTTTGGGGTGTCCTGTGCAGGGCCAGCAGCTGGGCTGGATGATCCTTGCAATTCTGATTCCTCTTCAAGGTCCTTCCCAGGTCCCTCAGACCAAGCACTGCTTCCTCTGCCCAGCTGGGATGGAGTTTGAAGTCAGAGCAGGGATTTCTTTAGCAGGAGGTTGGGGTGATGTCGTTTATGCATGGAGGAGCCCCAGGAGGTCATTTCTGTGTGGTGCTCCTGTGACCCCTCAGTGGCACAGAGGGAGCAGTGGTGGGTGTGTCAGTCAGGCCTTGCTCTGGAGTGACTCCCTGGCTATAAATAATGTGGTTTTGTACGTGGATCCAGCTGCTGGATGGTTGTTCCAGGAGGTGTGCAGACGCCCCAGTATGAAAACTCCTAAACTTTGTCTAAGGATGTGATTTTTTTTACCTGATAATACTCCAAACATGGTTATTTGTTCTGAACAAATTTTTTCTTGGCTTGTTTTTGTTATTTGATGGTTGTGTGAGAAACCTGTGGAGGAACAGCATCCTGCACTGCACAGGATCTGGGGACAAAGACAAGAGACAGCCCAGAAGAAATGTCATAAAACCTGCTGCCTTCTCTGCAACTCCAACCCACCAGAGCTCAGACACAGCACCTGGAGTTGTAAGCAACAGAAATGGCTCCTGACCTTCTCCCAAGGAAATATTTCCCTAGAAATCACTAAATATATCTTAATATTGGCTAGAACTGTACCTGCAGTCAGCACTTCTCTGAGCTCTTGCTGTTACTTCTTAAAAAAAAGCATTTTTATGGAACTGCTTTGTCTCGAGTCACTTCATTAAATCTAATAGAGCCATTTCATTTTTACTTTATCTTATTTTTGTAGGGGTTTATTTTGTGTGTGGCAAGGTGGAAGCCCAGCAGAGGCTTCAAATCCTTGAAGTCTTGTTTGCATGTCTCCATTGTGAGGTGCTTGGGGCAGAACATTTGGAAGAAACCTGGATTTAGGAAGGCACAGAACCATCATTTTGTGCCTCCCTCAGTGGGAGCCAAAACTCAGTCCCATGGGAAAACTGGGAGAGAAATGTTCCAGAATTGAAACCACAGATTGATTTATATACAATGAAAAAACTGAATTGACATTGACACTCCAAAATCTAGGAATTTACACTTTTTGGAAGTCCCAACAAGTCAGGACTATTTCTAACAATATTTGTGATTTGGGCTTTCTCTCCACCAACCCAGGCTGCAGAACCAAGGCCCCAAAGCCACACCTGGGTCCTGGGGTGGGTTATGGTAACTCCCAAGGAGAATGTGAAGATATTTTCAGATCAGTGAAGGGAGATGCACCTTTGGGTTGTGTTTGACCTGGATTTCAGCACTCCTGAGAACATTTATGTTGTGTTTGGCCTGGATTTAAGGCTCCTGAG